GAATGCTACTAGAGCACTGTAGAAGCTGAGATGAGCAAACAGAACTTATAAACACTATATAACATTGTTTGAGTTAACGCAATTTTCATTTCAGCTTTCCTTGCCTCTCACAAACAAACCATAAAAAGAAAGAAAGAAAGAAAGAAAGAAAAACCTTTTACTTATTTCATAACTGAATATATTGAATAACATTCAGACCCAGAGCCTAGAGATATGCTAGCGGTGTGCTTGGTTTCGTAGAAGATTGTTCCTTATCAGATGCAGCTCATTGAGAACAGCACTTGTGGTCATCCGATCTTGAGGTGACTCCACGGAACATGCCACGCCAATTCTAATCATAGAGATCAGACAATCCCTTGGGCTGTAAGATCGGGCCCGAACGTGAATCTGATTGTTAATGGTAGCTGCTTGAGCTTCATTGTAGGAGCTTTGGGTCTGCAATCTCCACAACCTGATCAGGTAATGCCGTTTTGGCATAGTTATGAAGGTTGAGGCCACCTTCAAAGAGACTGTCTGTTGGTCTCTTTCCTGTCATCATCTCCAACACTAGAATTCCATAACTGTATACATCCCCCTGCACTGTAACCTCACTTCCCATTCCATACTCTGCCATTTAAGAAAATCAAAAGGTTAGGTTGAGCAAAAAGAATACTAAGGGTATATAGAAATTAATAGACTGAAATCATAAAGGATTAGAATATTTTGATCACCTGGAGCGGTGTACCCAATTGTTCTCCTTACTCCAACCGACCTCCTCGCTTTTGGCTTTCTTGGCCCCGAAATAATTCTTGCAAGACCAAAGTCTCCGACGCGAGCAGTCATGTCGTTGTTAAGAAGAATGTTGCTCGGCTTTATATCACAATGAACGATTGGCTTCCAACAATAGTGATGAAGGTAGTCAAGAGCAGAAGCAACGTCAATAGCAATGCTTATCCTTGTAAAAGAGTAAGACTTTGGGCTATGCCTTGCCTGTTATTTGCTTCCTGACCAGATGAATGGAGCCAATTTTCCAAGCTTCCATTGGCCATCAAGTCATAAATCAAAGCCTTGAAATCACTACCTTTGAAATCGATGCTGGGGCAAGAAGTTATAATCTATACAACATTCCGATCACGAATGTTCCTTGAGGCTTGACACTCTGCGTTGAAACTCTTGGAAGCTCGTCGATGCTTAAGATCATGTACTTTGATTGCAACATTAGTTCCATCTTCTTGAAGAACTCCTTTATAGACAAAACCAAAGCTCCCTTTTCCAATTACATTTGACGAAGAAAACCCATCGGTTGCTTTGAGCAAAGCTTCATTAGAAAGTTGCCTAAATGACTCCCTCAATAAAGATCCAGAAGACTGGTCTTCGTTTTTCCTTTTATACCAGCCAAATAGGAAGAAGGACACAACAATTACTCCTGCAATTGCACATGTAACGGAAACAACTATTTTTATTATCTCCACCAGTGAAAGTTTTCCTTTCTCTCCTTGTTTGATGTTGCATCTAGGCAACCCAAGTTCAGTGATTCCCCCACAAAGTTTCTTGTTTCGTTCAACAAACACTATACTTTCATTTGCAAAGATGCCTTTTGTTGAAACTTCTCCTTCCAAATTATTGAAAGACAAATTCAAATACTCTAATGCAAATTTTTCCATGTATTGAGGGATCTTAGTAGTCAAGTTGTTGCAAGAAAGATCTATAGCTCGAATTCCTCTCATAAAGCTTAAAAATGGAGGAATGTTGCCTTGAAATTGGTTTTTCTCCAAATTAAGGATCTCAAGGCTGGTGCAACCACTTAGGCTACTCGGGATTTCTCCAGAGAGATTGTTCTCAGAAACATCCAGTGTATTTAAGTTTGTCAATTTACCAACCTCTGAAGGTAATGATCCAACCAAATGATTGTGAGAAATGTTGAGTAAAACACACAGAGAATAAATGTTGAAAAGTTCCTTGGGTATGGAACCACTAAGTTCATTGTCATTAATGGTCAATAAAATCAAATTCTGGCAGTTCCCAAAGCTCGATGGTATACTACCGTTTAACTTGTTGTAATCAAGATAAAGCTCAATCAATAATGTTAAATTCTGAAAGAATCTGGAATTTCTCCTGAGCATTTATTCATGCTAAGAACTATATCTTGTAGTTGTTTAAGCAGGCCTATTTCTTTTGGAAATTTTCCAATAAGCTGATTGTTTTGTGCTCCAAAGAAATTCAAGCCTACAAGATTTCCTAATCCTGAAGGGATTTCACCAAATAAGTTATTCTTTCCAAGGTAAAGTTGTGTTAGATTGGTAGAGAGATTGGCTATAGAATCAGGCAATCTTTCCGACTTATTATAACCAAGATTTAATATTTTTTCAGATTGCTACAGTGCCAAAGAACTGAAAAGTTCATTTCATCAGATTCACCACTTCCTAGATGATTGGAACCCAAACCCAAATTTACAAGTTGTTGAAGATGGCCAAAAGAAACTGTTACTTTACCAGAGAAATTGTTTTTCTGCATTTCAATCGATTCTAGTTTTGAAGCATTGGATAGCGTTACTGGAATCTGCCCCCTAAAATGGTTTCCCCATATTTGTAAGATTGTTAGATGAGGAAGGGTAAGCCCTATGTCCTATGGAAGATCTCCTTCCAGTTCATTTTTGGACAAGGAAAAAATGGAAAGCATAGAAAAATTATAGATTGATGGGGGATCCTACCGGGAGGTTATTTCCTCCGAGTCCAAGATTTCTTAAGCTTCTGCATCGACCTAGGGCATCTGGAATCCTACCTCCAAAGTTATTAGAACGTGCAGCGAAGTATATTAAAGATGTAAGATTCCCCAGGAAAGGTGGGATCCCTTCGATGAAATGATTGTCACGAATAGAAAGATATGTAAGCTTGGACACGGGAGCAAGCTCCACTGGAAGTTTTCCTATTAACCTGTTGTCATCAATGTGGAGGATACTGAGGTTGTTGGAACAAGACAAGTTGGATTGGAGCTTTCCTTCAAAGGAATTGTAACTCAAATTTAGCAGCTGTAATCTGCATAGACGTCCAATTTCATGTGGGATATCCCCATGAAATCTGTTGTTTGAAAGTCTAATTTCACGAAGAAAGCTCAAGTTCCCTATGGGAGGAGATAAAGAACCCACCAAGCCTCTGGATGATAAATCCAAAATGGTGACTCCGTGTCTTCTATGACTGCAAGTGATGCCTGCCCACCAGCAAAAGTGGATAGAATCATTCCAGGACTTTAAAATCCCTTGAGGATCATTTGAAATCTTGGACTTGATGGCTATCAAGGCTAGAACATCAGTGACATTTCCAGCAGAAGTAGAAGTTGCACATGTGAGAGTTCTAAAACTCGAAAGATAGAGATGTAAGAGAATAATGAATTTGAAAAAAATATGCAAGAGACTCTGAGGTACCTCATTGCTGGGTATGAACATATTATCCCTTGCATTGTCTTTCCCACATGAACACGAGTGCCTTTTTGGCCAACGTGTTTGCAAAAACAAAATCTGTATGTAGGAGCTGTGGACTTGAACGCAAGTAGTAGTAATTTCTGTTAGTGATGATGAAATTAACTTCGTGTTTTAGTGAGACAGCTTGGAATGAAGGTGAACCAGTCATCTCTGAATATAAACACATCAATGTAATCATTCCATTTACTACCGAAGCAAGCAACTTTTGAAATTAGTGGTGATGTTGCATATTTTGGTACAAACGCACTGAATTGAAAAGGGTCATTTGTGGTTGCCACTAACTAGTAGAAATGATCATTGACAAAATTTCAATAGAAATATCTCTAATCCAAGCCTATTCGGAGATTCTTAGGATTGCAAATCACATCTTAATTATGGGATATCTGAACTGTATCTAGTTAAAAATAGTGTATTGTTGGAATTTAACTTTGTGGTGGTGTGATCTTTATGCATTGCTAGTAATGAGCTTTTATTCGTGAATGTTTAGACTAATGTAGAGGGAGTGTATGAATTTGTTAAACTGAGGTGTTACCATTGGATATCATGGAAGATGGATAGCTGCCTTTTTTTTTCTTTAGCAGGTTGGAGGTCTAATCCAAGAGGCTGCTTGAACAGGTGATGGTGGAAGCTCACTGAGTCATTGGCAGTTGTTTTTAAATATTAATTTGTTGACTTTTATTGTCTGATTTGTTAGTTTCTTTTTGCTGGCTTTTATGTGAGCAATTTCACTTGGTATGTAACTCTGTATTCAATTTCTGATATTTGTAAGGGTCTGAGTACCCTTGGTACTATCTTTTATAATATTTGATATATATTTTTTGGTTTTTCGAAAAAAGAAAAAGACAAATTGCAACCCAAAATTATTTAGCATTTTTCAAAGTAAAGATCTTGATAACTAGATGTGTTTATTAAATATCTGGACTTGAGCCTGGAGTTAATACTAGTTCTTTGTTTATCTTCCTAGAAAAATTGCTCCAGATAAGATTCAGTTAACCGAAGCCAGTACTTATGAACATCCAATGTTGAGGCAACTTTGTCGAACATGCCATGCCAATGCTGTTCACTGAAATAACCAGAGAGTCCATTGTTCTGGTAATTAGTGCTCTTACACCGTTTCTGTCGGCTAACAATGGTTGCTTCAGCTTCATTTAGGAGCTTGGATCTATAATCTCTATTACTTGATTAGTTTTGGCGACCATGGCAGAGTTATTGATGTTAACAAGGTTGTCAAAATCGAGATTTTACCTAAAATCGTTTTCGTTAGATAAAATCGAAATCGTAAAATCGAATCGGTAAAATCGAGATTTTACTAATTTATAATAAAATAATATAAAATTAAAAATTAAAGGATGAAATTCACAAAAAAAATCAATAAATCTAATCCAAACCCAAATATTAAGCCCAATAACTACTTTCACAAATTAGCTCATTAAAACCCAAACCCAAACCCAAAAAACCCTAGTTTTTCTTTCTCTTTTTTGAGAAAAAAAGGTATTAGCAATGCATTAGGAAACTACCATACAGCATCTACAACCAGTCCTTATCCAAAAGGATAAGGGTTACAACCAAAGAAAAGAACAAACTGGAGAAGTAAAACAGAGTAGGCCCAGTGCATGGGAGGAAGGGAGATGAAATAACTCGAGCAACTTGAGGTCGACCAATCCAGCCATGGGACACCCTTCAATCTACTCCAGAGAGGATGGCGCAAGATCTCCAGGACGCCGCGGTAGAGATCCAGTCCGGCAGTGGCCAGAACTAGAAAAACAGCGAGCACCTCCAAGATCTACAAGATAAAGCCGAGGGTCGCCAGATCTGAAAAAAGAAACTACACAAGAACATAAAGTAAAACAAAACAACAAGAAAAACAGAAAAAAACCAAAAGGGGTCACCGGAAAGGGACCCAAAAGCCGACAGACCCAGAAGGGTCATCGGAGGAGGGAGCACAAGGCGGCTTGCTTGAGCAGCCGGGAAGCTCCTTTCTCTTTAAAAGGGGGCAGCCACACCAAAAAAAGGCTGCAGACGGCAAAAAAAAAAAAAAAAGGGCTGGATTCTTCTCCCATCCAGAACCTCTTTCTCAATTTTTTCCTCCGATCAATAGCTTCCACCTACATCACCGGTCATCACCTGATTCTTCTCCCATCCAGAACCCCCTTTCTCCATTTTCTTCGATCGTGGGATCCCTCCTTCAGATCTGGATCTGCCTTTCTCCAAAATTTCTGCCTTGGGTGTTTTTGTTTCATATCCTGCAATTTCCTGATGTTTGGTGTTTGAACTTGTATGAATTTGCTAAAAGTGAATGATATTCAGTGATTCGTTGCTTGCTACTCAGTGTTTACTACTACAGCCACCGGTCCGTAGCTTGCCCCAAATTGCTTTCTTAAGAATCTGTTCCTGTACCAGTCTTTAGTTTCTTTATATCTATGTTGATACAGATGGTTTCTGCCTTGTGTTTCTTCTAGTTTCATATGCAATTTCTTGATTCATCACACCTTAGATCAGAGACCAAATTTGTGTTTGGATTTCTGGAAGCCTCTTCTTCTTCTTCAATTTCCATGAAAGTAAAATCGAGATTTCAAACGATTTTACCATAAAATTGTGATTTTACGATTTTTCCTTCCGATTTCATGAGATTCCGATTTTAACATAGATTTTACTCGAAATCCATTCCTAAAATCGTAAAATCTTAAGATCTTACGATTTAAAACTCGATTTTGACAACCATGGATGTTAAGCCCTCCAAGTCCAAAAAGACTCTCTGGGTCTCATATCATCTCCAACACTAGGATTCCATAACAAGTAGAAATAACTTATGTTTTAGCAAGATCATCACTCTAGGGAGGAATGGAGGTGAAGCAGCCATCTTTGACATTAACATTGAGGTAATCATTCATATACCCAAAAAAAATGCATCTTTTTGAAATTAGTGGTGATATTGCATATTATGGGACAAACACATCTCATTAGAATATTATATGCGGTTTCCGCTAGCTGGTAGAAATGAGTATTGGCAGATTTTCAATTGAAATCATCATCTGTAATCCACGTCTGTGAGGTCTTTGTTTACCTTAAAGTTAACATCAAGTCTAAACAAGTGGTTTGCTGATAGAATGTAGGTCCAAAGACTTAGCCATGCAAGTTCTAAATATCCCATTGGCCAAAAAAGGCACTTAGATGTCTCTGTAATTTACAGGTCAGGAGGAAGATACCATATTTTCTTGATTGACTTATCACTTCTTTTAGTCACTCATTAATGTCAAGGATAATCTGTTCCTTAATGTTTCCGCTCTGCAATTGATTAATTGGCATCTTTTTTTTGCCTTCTATAATTGCATTGACCTTATCCCTAGCCTACTAGAAACTGTTATTTTTTCTGTTCTCAGTGGTAATTTTAATTATTGCTAATATATGTATATATATATATATATATATTTTAAGCTGGAACTTCGGCACAATAGGGACATCTTATAATGGGAAAGGTCCCATATTCCCATTTCATCGTTTCATGTTATTATTATTATTTTATTATCATTATTATCATTATTAGCGTTTTTACAACTTAAGAAAAAGGTCATAAAAGAGCAAGCTTAGCGCAATACGCTGATTTCCTTAATTTAGGAATTTTGAATTAATTTCTTAATTAATCATTTTTTTAAATTAATTGATTTTTGAAAATCAAAATCTCAAAATTTAAATTTAAATCAGAGGTTTTTTTAAAAAAAATTTTTAATTTATTGAAAAGATTCAATTTTTTACAATTAATCATTTCAAAACTCTGGATAT